TATGAGGGGGATATGAGGGTGAGGGGGGAAATATTTGGGGGTTACGGTAGTTTTCCTTGCTCTTCCTTTTTTTCTTTTCATGCGGGGTGCCGACCAGCTGCTGAGTGGTAGTTGCCAGCAAGTGGACCCCGTCCAATTGGGGGGCGCCGATCGTTGGCGTGAAAACACTGGCTACCACCATTTTCCAACCATCTGGCCCAAAATCAGGATAGACTGGATTCTGTGCACCCCAGATCCCTGTCGTGAGTCCAGACCGTAGCCATGGTTCGAACTCTCCATTGAAATCCTTGACTGCTTTAACTTGCATATCCTTGGATCACAAGTTTGTCTGTAAGCAGTTGCTTATGCAAATAATTCCGCATTGGCGCAGTTCAGCGGAGCGATCTGTGAATGGGGGACAATGAGTGGACGATTTCATATAGATTATTACCTACAAAATGCCAAACTGCACAAGAACGTTTCCAAATCTCACCTACTTGAAGTGCATTGTCTAGCTATGCATTCTCAAATCATCTATGAATACGAGCCTTGTTGCACCACGTGCCGTTCGCCGAAATTTTGAGCAAATGTAAACAGGGAATTTATCCCGATGCTTCAAAATGTTGGTGAATGGCGAGCAGTGCAACTGTGCCCTAAGAACAACCTGATGCCTTACAAAGCAAGACAGGGAACTCTTTCCAAGCTCGAGTGTTGCACATATTCGGCACTGCATTCCCAGACCAGAGACCTGAAGAATTCCATCCGTGGATTCTGTGGAAAGGGCCCACCCACTGTCAAAAAAAAATCCAGAATTCTCAACACAGTAATGAGAAAATATCAAAGATTTAAAAAATAAAAGTGAATGCAATCAGGCTGCAAGATTTACCTCCAAGCACGCTACAGAGCACTTCAATGCTTGCAACAGATCAGTTGTACCCTGCAAAAGCAACATGACATAAATGGTCAGGGATGCATAAGAAATAATTATCAGCAGTCAGCTAGTACACCCATGAACTGTCGAAATACAGACCCAAGTTCGAATCCACATGCAATCAGATGACCAAATCAAAACCATTCTAAATTTACCTGGGCCAGTCGGTTCAATGGCGATATCCCAAGGTCGTTACCCTGTTCGAACAGAAAAGATCAGCAGGGAAAGAAAACGCTTTTCCAGTTGAATCATGCCTTGACTACCATCTTCCCCCGAAAATAACGCATTTGCGTTGTAAACGAATACAACGCATAGGTTGCTTTCTATTCGAATACAGCGCACATGCGTTCTATTCGAACAGCCCTGATTGCTGAACGCAACGCATATGCATTCCATTCGAATTTTGAAGTTTTCGAAAAATCGAATACAACGCATATGCGTTATGTTCCGAGGAAGACGGTAGGGAAAGCAGAAAGGCAAGCAGAAAACATAACACGAGACGGAAGAGAGAAGAGACAACAACTGGAAACAGGAAGGTACAAAAAAAGAGGGATGATATATAAAGCTCCACACTACTGTGTCATCCTGCCACGTACTTCATTCACGTACGAAGAATAGAATCATACATGAAAACAGACCAGTCAAAAAAGAATAGTGACAAGCAATGGCCAAGTTGCTTCCTAACACATACTTCATTCACATACGAAGAATAGAATCATACATGTTCCATTGACGTGCACGGTTCCTGTACTTGTCTTAACCAGTTGCACTCTGGTCATCTTCAGGAGGCTTTCCAACACCCAATGCCTCTCGGCCCACCAAAGCTTTCCACCGGCACTGAGCAATGAGGGAGAAACTGGCCCAGTTCTCCGCATAAGTAGAGCAACTAGTCCTGCCCTTGAGCGGTCCCTCCCTCCTACCTGATTGGCGTCTAACACTGCATGAGATCCAAGTATATCCAGCAAGCATATTCCCACTACTTTCAAAACTTCCCTGGCCATCCACTTAGTTGGGTCGAGAGGTACCCACCCACACAGGAGTCCCTACTCTTCCCCAGTACTTTTCGTGTTTGTCGACATCCGTAGGGGCTTTACGTGTAACAACCTATCCCCCTATTGGCTGGTTGAAGTGGAATGCCGTTTTCCTCACCCACACGTTTGCCTCTCTCCTCCTCCAAGCGTCCTCGCTCATTATTCCGGCAGTGCAGAGTGATCAAAATTTAGTCTGGGTTCCGAAAAACTATGTGCTATTGTACATGCTATACTTTGGTCGCCTCCGCGTCCTTCTGATCCAGTAGTAACAGGAGATTCTCAGCCGCATCCCTTCATTCTTGCTGTTCAGTCGCCGTCCGGCACAAAATTCCTGTTCACTTCTCTGCCTATTTGGTTCGTGCGGGGCCCAATTGCCCTAAGAAGTTAAAAGGGTGCATTTCGAGCGGATTTCCAAAAACCCAAAACGATTCTAACAAATATGCATTTCGAATGAACTTCATAAATGTTCCCCAGAAAGAAGTAAAAATGACAAATTTCAGAAAAGACACATACAGAACCTTATGCACATGCTGAACCAGCAAATGTCTGAACTAATCAAAAGATTGCAGTAATGACAAATTGCTGAAATCGACGATACATATGCTGAGTCAGGCAGCTTGGAATAACCAATAACAAAAGTTTCTTTTTGTTCTTTCCGTACAATTTTGTCACTACAGTAACTACACAGTGTTGTACACTATTTACCGACCACAAAATGTTTCCAGCTTGACTTCTCCCCTTCACAAAGTTAGCACGGTAAGAAGGATGAATTTTTCCCAGTCAGAAAAGACCCCAGCAGACGTCACACCAGCCTGCGATAAGCACGCAATTTTTGGGCTTATCAAATGGTGCCCCCCCAAATGGAGGGTTATCTCAAAGATCCAGGTTTGGAATTCTGAGGAGATGAGGGGGCAGGTGGGCGGGAAGTGGACGGGAGGAAAAGGATGGGCAAGGGGGATTGGAGTGATCGGCCACAAAGCGAGTTTGAAGGACTCATAAAAGGGGGGATCCCACAATTTCTGCCTTTGTCATTCTTTCCATCTTTTGAAGCACCAGTCCTGAGCATCCTTTCCCTGGTGGACTTTTGTCATGTGCCAATTCCTGCCAAACTGGCACAGTGCGCAATTAGCCTGGCGATGCCTGCCTAGCCCATTTGATAGGCTCGACCCACGATTTTGCAGTGGGTTAACCAGCTCATCGGAACAAAATAGCTGGGAAAGGGACTACTGGTTTAGTTCGTGAGAGACTTTCAAACCACAAGTACATCCGAGTGTAATGACCCGCCAAAACACGGACTGAGTACACTGCTGATTTCTGGGATTTGCCGCTGGAATGAATGCCTTGCTGAGATTCCCACATTCTCCTGTGATTTCTAAGTCTGTGTGCGTGTGCATGCCTGCTGGTTCATGTGCCTGTCTGAGTGCTTGTCGGCCAGAGTGTGTGTGACCCGCAAGGGTACTTGTTGGTTGAAAGGCCCCGCAGGGCCGGTACTTACCTGTGGCCATGACATTGAGGGTTCCAGCGGGGAAACACTCGAGCAGCGTGGGGTAGGCCCACGGCACTTAGAGCAGCGGGAAAAACACTCAAGTAGCAGGTAGGCCGGTACCACTCAAGTAGTGGTAGAAGTGTCGGGTACTGGAGGCCGAGCAGAAGAAGACAAAAGTTGGCATTTTTAGAGGCCCAGTAGCGGTAGGTTAGAGGTAGGCCAGTACCGGTCCAAATAGCCTGAGTCTAGGGCCTGTCCGGACAATATCAGAGCCTGCAATGATGTTTCCCTCCGAAAGGGCGGAGGTACCGATTGCGGGGAGGCCGTTCGGCCTAGGAAGTCACCGCCCAAGAGGCCAGTAGGCCGCTATACCTTCGGGAGGAGCAAGCAGCTCCTCCTCATTTGCGGTATGCAAGGATCGGCGACATGCTGCTGGAGCCAAGCGCTGGACTTGGGAAGTGCTGCCTGGAGGAGAAGAGCAGCTGGGCGCTCAGCCTGGCTATGGCGAGCAGCCCAGCCTGAGGAGGAAGAAGGGGGCAACGGAGGAGAGTGGCGAGGTTCCTACCTGGCTATGGTGGACACCATCTTCAGCACCTTGTTGAGCTCTGCATCTGGAAGGCCCCAGTTGGCGTAGTGCAACACCAAGGAAGCTCGAGGCAGAGTCAGGCATGGCGGCTTAGTGAGCAGTGACATAGCTGCTTTGGGTTGTCCTTTGGACAGGAATGCAGCGACATAGCTGCTTTGCGTTGTCCTTTGCACAGGAGGGCAGAGCCCTTAGTAGTCCGCCATAGCCTAGGCGGGTGAGAGGAGGAAGAAGGGGGAAGCCATAGCTATGGTGGACCTATTGTTGTGCCAGCAGTAAGAGGGAACTTCGGATATTGATTCTGGTTCATCCACTCATTGTTATTATTATTATTGGAAGAAGAATAAGATTGGCAAAGTGGAGGAGGAGGAGGAAGGTGGAGAGAGAAGGGGGATTTGTCATTGGTCTTGCTGGTGTACATCTTCTTCGTCTTCTTCTTCTTCTTCTTCTTCTTCTTCTTCTTTCTCTCTTCTTTGGTCTCCATCTCTTTGCAAGTGCTTTCATTTCTTTTGCAATTGGGTGGCATTGTCTTTCATTGTGAATTTGCACTTCGGGAATGACCAGGATCGTAACACGAGCTTTCTTTCGTACGAGGCGGATACCTCTGCACGGCTAGCTTTGCCGAAACACCAGCACGGCGTGCTCCACCAGCCATTCTGGTCCCATTGCCCCCGAGCCTCCGAGATTTTCAGGATGAGCTGATTTCAATTCTCAAGTTGCCTGGGGCCATGTGTTGGTGCTTTAAGGTCAGCATTGGTCTCAGCCGGGCTTGAACCCCCGACCTGGCCCAATATTTTCATGTTCTAGTATTTTCTGTGTGTGTCATGGCCGTGTATCCAACCCACGCAGACTTCTAGCTGGCCCGGTAGCTTTAATGCATTTCCAAATTCTTAGTAATTTTGTTTCCATGACATGGGCAGGTATTCAACCCAGGGCCCAGGCGGACCAGTCGCCGGCCCACTACCTTTAAACCGCAAGTACACAGCCCCATCCTTGCAGAAACTTTTTGTCCCCACAAGCAAAACTCGGAAGGGCCGCGCGGCGTGGGGCGTCGTTGAAAAAAAAATATCGGCGGCCTCCGAAGTGGTGCTGGTTTCGTGCTGACACCTGCGGGCCGATGTGTGGTGTACTGGTGCTTTAATACACAGCGGTAGCCATAGGCAGACTTGTCACCGGCCCACTACCTTTAATCCCCAGTCCAATTTTCTCAACAGATGGCTAGGCACATAATTCATCACTTGAGTTCCAAGAGTTGGTTGTCCAAATGATCCGATTATTTAACTTCTCTGATCCCATTCCACCAGATTGATTCGAACTCATGATCTGTTCCTTGAAAGTGACATGTGTGCACCATTAAGCCACATATGTGGATGGTCTTTTGTTCTAGATTTTTTTTCATTTAAAAAGAAATCAAGGGGAACGTTTACGTTCTGTGCTTAGGCATCGGGTCATCCACGTGATCACCCTGGCAAACTAGATTTTAACCTCTATAAACTTTAATAGGATAGAGATAAACTTTTAACCTCTATAAACTTTAATAATAAGATAGAGATAAACTTTAATAAGATAGAGAAGATAGTCCAATCCATCAGCACGACTCAGTAACAGGCCTTGGGAATCCGCACATCAGATCCCACCAATAGACTGCAGCGGTGAGAGTATGTATTGCATTTCAGAACGACCTTGCTGATGCAAGGAATATGAGCGAGATCGATAGACGGAAACCCACATTGCAAAATCACGAAGTAGCCCAGATAGTCATGTACCAAGCAGGAAGCACAATGCACCAAGTTACCATCCAAATAAGCACAATACAATGAACTCGTATGTCAATGTCGATGCTCCATGGCCACACCAACACAGTATCCAATGTTGCTCCTACTGATTGGCGCCCAGCGGCCAGCCTACACTACTCAGCCTACCTAGCCCATCTACATTCACGCAACAGGATCACATCGACGTTGAAGACCAATGTACGTGGCGTCTTCAACAACGCAGACCGCCAGCGTACACCAGGTACGTTTCTCTCTCCTTGTCACAACCTGTCTCCCCTCTGCATGCGCCTCCTACCCAAAGACCACCATCGCCATCACGTGCCACCGCACGCGCAGCCCGGCTATGGCCACCATGTGCCCGCTGCCACCGCAGCGCCCTCTCACCTCTAAGCGCCCGCTTGCGCACAGCATCGCAAAGCAAAGCAGCAGCGTGGCCTCATTGCCTGGGCAGGCCAGAATGCCGTGCCCCTGGGCGCTCACTTTCCTTTATGGAAAGTGAGCCTGCTTCTGTCTGCCCTGGGCCTGGCGTGTAGGGCCCCAGTAGCTTCAGGTTGGCCCTAAGTGTCTGCGTCCAGGCCCAGCTTTCGATACTGGCCTGGGCCCCGTGCAATTAGGCACATCCACATAGCCCCACGAGCCTCCAAGTGTTCGGCGCGTTCTCATTGGCTCGTGGCATGCGTGTGATGCAGGAGCTGCTTTCTCATTGGTCCGTGGCCGCTCCGTGACATATCGGCCTCAGGATGCATGTGCCCAGCTCCTCAACCGAATGATCCCTGGGCTCAACTGTACAATGCAGCTGAGCCAGATGAGGCTCACATTACTCTGTAACCAACTGTTGTGCTGCAACTGTCTGGTACCCCCATATGCGGAAAATGTTAAAAGTAGGCCTCTCGTGAATGTACAGGCCCACCTTCACTTAGGGCGGGCACAAGGCTTGCTGGGGACCGCAGCCTAGAACATTTGCATGCCCGAGAAGGGCCTTGCGAAGGCTCAATCCTCGCACTGATGATCACAGTTGATGAAAACATATGCCATAACACACTCAGGCTGTACACACTAGGACTTTCCTGGATATATCTGAACGCCTTTACAGCCAGGACTGGATGCATCCGACCGCAACCACATAAACAGAGAGAAGTCAAAAAAAGTCCTGGTGTGAATATGCCCTCAGAGCCCAAAGGGGCCATGCGGATCTTCTTCTGTATCGTTCCAAATCTAGCAGATGTCCCAAAGGACAGAGAGACATTTCTAATGACAACTACTGGAGAAGATGTAAAGCACTACACTCTCAAAGGTCCCAAACACAGCGGAACGACTGTGATGCAAAACTGATAACAAAAAAAAGGCAGCTTACCAAGGGTGACATGAGGGTGGGAGATCATACCTCTGTGCCCCAACCATCCACCACAAATACATCCAATGAATAGCCGTCAATTGTGGAGAAGATGTGCGCTTCACGGATGTTGAGACCAACATCCGCAAGGATAGCAGAAATCTGCGCAGCACAAGCAGAAACATGAAACGTTTAGACGTTTCATACACAAAGTAGAACCCATCAAGTTCAACACAACATTCACCAAGAAACACAGAACGAGATTCACAAGATTGGCTTCGTCTCTGTGAACCACCCCATCCTGGAAAACCAGCATAAAAAGTTTTAAGAACACGCCATCTCGGAAACACCAGCTTTGAGAGAAAGCACACATAATAAGTCAGAAAGGATAATAGGACAGAAGGCCAAGGGGAAAAAACAAGAAAAAAAAGAGGACAGAAATCAAAGAGCTGAGCAAAATCTGAATTCCATGGATGCCTTTGGAAGAATGAAGAAAGGGCAGGGTTTATAAGATGCACCATGGATGGGTATCAGCGGCCATCACCTGACTTAAAATCTTTGGCTTATCTATCGTTGAGAACGTTACTTCATGCATCGGAACATGAGGCCGCCCGCTGCATGGACACAAAAACCCACAAATGCTTGCAGTGAGAAATTCATCGGAAACTGACACAAAGGCAAAACAAATGCAGGATAAGACAGAAAGGTCCCCAAAAATTCTAGAAGAAGAAAGTTTGAGATGAAGACACGTTTGATTTCTTTCAAACATTATTCTTCTCCGCGTTCAACTTCAAGGCCATTTGCGAATGTTCCAGTCACACAGTATCCAGAATTTTGAATCGATTTATAGTATTTATACCGAGTGACATATGCAATTGGAGCACAATCCTGACTGCCACCCAAAAAAAATGGTACAACCTTCCGACTGCCACCCAAACGACACAACCTTGATCAGTGAAATGAGTTCAAAGTTCAAACGTAGTATAACAAGCAGTCTTTAAACAGTACCAAAAATACTTCAGGCTCCTATGATCTCTTCCCCCAAACATAAGGCACGGTCAAAATAGTCATATTTAGACACAGATACGGCTATTATGTGCATGCATTATCTTCGTGTAGAAGTAGGACTTCAATTTAGCACAGGTGCTGCACATTTGTGGACAACTCATGTCAGAGCGTGTCATAAGACGTTTGGTCATAAGACATTCAGTTAAACCACCAGCACTTGGTCCAGCTATCAGCCGTGGAAGAATATAGAGTAGACAGTACTAGAAACGTTCTACTGCACCTCCCTTGAGCAACACCACCATGGGGGGAATTTAAAACAAAAACAAAGGGTCGAGGATACAAGTAAAATAAAAAAGGACCAATACAAGAACTAGAGCTTAGAGCTTAGGACAGGCACTTCAGGCAACACCATGATGATCACGCAACAAGTTCTCAACGCAGGGTATTCCAGTGCACCTCCCTTGAGCAAGAACAAAAACCTCTACTGTACGCTGAAGCCAGAAGCATGAATTTGGCCAAACTCACAGTTCAAAGCTTCTCTTCGACTGCCCCAATATCCAGAATCCCCTGTCAAACCGGCAGGTTTGAGCTGCGGGTACATACAGCCAATCACTAGAACCAACAAACCAAGAGCAAGAGCCTCCATCCTCACCAGCGGGTTCTTCTCAGAAGAGCAATAAACGTCCTGGCAGTTCAAGTGGGGCTCGTCTGGACCAGATGCTTCTATGAACACTGGATACTTGGGTAAACCTCACATGCTGGGCCTAATTGCCGCAGCTGTCTTCCACTTTCGAATCACCAGATAGGAGGCATTATATGCTATCGCATTTGACTAATGGAATAGGAGAAAAAGAAGGTTCAAGAAACTTATCCTCCTACGTAAAAAAGAAAGAAAGAAAGAAACGGCATAACGCATGTGCCCTAAGTTTCTGATTCACCCTTGTACTCGGACCGGAACACAACGCTTTGGCGTCATGACTGTATTCACACTGGAACAGTGTTTGTACACTTGCATGACGATGGGGTGTTACGCACGCAGGAGGAAGAAGGTAGTGAATCTATTTCAGTCTCCTAAGCCTCCCTTCACCCTTTCCTCTGTTTTTTTATTGCTATGCCTCCCTTTCCTTCCATCTATACATTAACACATATTTACTCCAATGCCTCCCTCACACAGCCTGCCTTGCGATCCCACGTTCAGGCTAACCCACACAACTACGCGAGACCCTTCTCCGGGGGTAACCGGCACATTCACAGCTTGGCACCCCCAGGGTAACCGGTGGCACATGTTTCTTATCGCGTAGTGGTGGTTTAAACACTGCATCATGGCTGACTGCAAGTGATGTTCTCATTTTCGACAGCATTCAGACGATATCTGTGGAGAAGCTGCAGGGAGAAACATGTATAGATAGACGGATCACATACGGAGGATGGATAGAATGTCACTGACAATGCCACTCACCTTGTCAGGTCATGATGGCTCGTGGCAGTCAGCTTGTTCATGTCCATAGCTAGCGCCTCCAGATTCGGCGACGAGCCAAACGCCGGAGGGGGGAATCTGCAAAACCAACACAGTTTCATCTGAAACCAAGCAAGGAGAACAAATTGTTTTCCCTTATTTCAATTTGTCTTTTAAAATTCGATTATCACGCTTCCTCCTCCCCAGCCACCCGTTCCACAGCAAACCACACGAGCAACTCCCGTTCATGGCGTTCCCGCAAAATGCAGACACAGCAGCACAGCATTCAGTGAAAAGTGGACAGCAGCACAGCAATCTGCTGGTGCAGCATCCAGCCAAAAGCACTCTGCCAGCGCAGCATACAGCCGAAGCGGAGAGCACACAGCGATCCCCCACCTGTCCTCTGCTTGATTTCACCACATGCTTGCCACTGCTGGCACAGTGAAAGAAGTCGAAAACTCATCCATTCTAGGGCGACCCGCTAAGTTCCCAGCTCTTCAGCTTCAGAAGGTAGGTGAAGCAAAATTTCTACATTTCAAAATTTCAACGATGAATCCTAATCCTCTACCCTCAGATGTGTCATTCATAGCAACAATGAATCCTGATCCTCTTCCCTGCTGGCACTGTAGGTGTGTCACTAACATGTCAAGTCCCGTTGATGAATGCAGAGAAAGAAGTGCAGAGGAAATAGCAAGAGAGAGAGAGAGAGCATGTCTCTGGGATTGCTGAGGAAATAGAGACAGAGAGATCCTCTCTCTCTCTCTCTCTCTCTCTCTCTCTCTCTCTCTCTCTGTGTGTGTGTGTGTGTGTGTGTGTGTGTGTGTGTGTGTGAGAACACACACGTGTTCATGACAACTGCGAACCTCCTATCACTTGGCCATTGCCAGGACGTCAAACTTCGCAGGTCAAGCTTTCGACCATCCCAACAGCATTCAAGATTTCAGAACCCACAACCGCACAATTTGCCTCACCATGCAAACCCAAGACCCTTCCAGCCAAGACCCTTCCAGTCTACCAGTAGCCCACCCCTTTGTTTTTCTTGTCTGTCTGACTGCCCGTACATCCGCTAGGTCCTTGACGACCTCCCCATGGTCCACATAATGCCCGATGGCCATAACAGGGCCTGATGGAATTTTTATTCAAGGCCTCACCAACCCATTTCCAAACTTGTTAACCGCCAGGTTTGAACAAAATAGCTGGGTGACGTACTGGCGTTTGAAAGACTGGCCAGACAACATGATCACACTCCCTAAGGGGATAAAAAACTAATATGAGCAGCGGTGTACGCAGAACCGGCAACCTTCTTTGCTGCATACCAAACTCCAACGTCTTCTGGCGGTGAACATTATGGCGACACCTGAGGCCCACGCACCATGGCACAGCAGCTATACTTGAACCTGACCTGCATTTCATCAACCTTCATTTCCACATTTAACATTTGTCCCCCGATAGACCTTGAACTGTTGACCAGAATAGGACCCAGATGTATGCAGAATATTTTGACACACTGTCCAGAAGACACCACCTCCTTGTCTTCAGAAATAGCGCTGCTATATCCAGAACAGCCAGGCTCAAAGTGTGGGGACCACATTATCCACAACATTCCTCCACTTCCCACCTTTTCGGCTTAAAAAAAAGCTCAGGGGATCACATGTAAACCTTCACAGTCAACACCGTCAGACCAAGTGCAACTGTTGAATTTACACTTGCTCCCTGATTTCAAAACTCGTCTACTGTATTGAAGCACTCACTGCCAGCAGTAAAAAGCTCAGGGGATCACATGTAAACCTTCACAGTCAACACCGTCAGACCAAGTGCAACTGTTGAATTTACACTTGCTCCCTGATTTCAAAACTCGTCTACTGTATTGAAGCACTCACTGCCAGCAGCAAGTGGACATCCGTTTTCTGTATTCACCACTATGCTCCTGAACCAGAGGCATTGTAGCGCCTCTCTCTCTCTCTCTCTCTCTCTCTCTCTCTCTCTCTCTCTCTCTCTCTCTCTCTCTCTCTCTCTCTCTCGTGCGCGCGCTTTTTCCACTTCTCTTGCCTGTAATCCATACTACTATCTTTCCCCAAACACAACGCAGTCTATTTGTCAACGTATACAAGCTACAAGTCCATTCCAATGCAGTAATATTGAGAGTGTGCTCACAATAGCAGTCGGATACATCCCATTCAGGCTGTCCTCCCAGTGCTTGTCTGACTGTGCCCTCAAAGGAATGCGCCTATATCGACCCCAAAATGGGCAAAGATTCATGAACTAATTTCAGAAAGCCTGGCACCCCGTGAAAACGGGCGCCCGTCTCTCTTCTGGGCACGTAGTCCCCACTTTTTTTTCTGGCAGTCCGCGTGATGACAGGTGCCAGTTACTGGTTGGGCGCTGCTTGCCCCCACAGGCATTCCCCTCCATGTATACAGCCTGCCTCCTTTCGACGGTAGGTATGTGTACCCAAGTATCACTGTGAGTGTGCCCTGACAAAAACGGGCTACCAGAGGCGTTGGAGAGAACGAACCGATACTATGCAGATCCGAGATTGACCGCTACATCTTGAGAATCTAGAGGCTGAGAAAATTGGACATTGGAAGACTTAGCACTCACTTAGTATCAGGTTCTAACTTCTCTAAGTGTTAGTTAGAGTTGAAAAGAAACTGTCGTCGGAACAGTTAAAATATGCCCTGCCTCCTGGCAGGGCATCCTGAAAAGAAACACGAGACATCGAGAACTCAAAGAGTTCCTTCAAATGTGACCCAGGAATGTGGCCACGGCCATCGGAATGAAAAAACAAGCAGATGCGTCTCGTTTTTCCTTGTGTTTTTTTTTTTCTGTTATAGTTTTGTTGCCCCAGTGCCAGCAAGGCAAGGGTTCTGTACGTACCTGTAGAAACGCACGGGAAGATTGGACCACTAGGAAACGTTGCCCGTTTTCAACGGCCCCACAAGGTTACTCCCCCGTTGTTCACCAGCCGTCCCCGCGCCTCCGAATCTTTCGTAGGCAACGAGATTCTTTTTCAGCAAGGCTGGGGCCGCGTACTGGTGATTTAAGGGCATACTCGCAATAAAACTTTTTCTTGCACATCTCACCACAAGCATGGCCATTTCCGGCTTTGAACGCTTCAAAGTTCGAGTCGTAGAACATCCACGCAGTGTCACAGTGACATTTGCCTTTCGGAAAGCTAGCTAGTTTGCATGCCTTGACTACACCATTCCAAGAATAGGAGCGGTGCATTGAGAATACCACGCCTATTCTTGGAGTGGCAGTGTTACAGCAAAATCTGCCTTTCGAAAGCCCAACCCACGCACCAGGGTCATCTGAGGCAGGTCTTGGAGAAGCTTAGAGAGGCTAACTTCAAGATCAACGCGAAGAAGTGCGATTGGGCCAAGACGCAAGTCTTRTACTTGGGCCACGTGTTGGACGGAGATGGCATTAAGCCAGCGGACAGCAAGATCGCGGCGATTAGAGACTGGCCGACGCCCCGCACACTAACAGAGTTACGGTCGTTCCTAGGCTTAGCTAATTACTATAGGAAGTTCGTGAGGAACTTCTCCACTATCGCCGCCCCCTTGCGCAGACTGCTAAAGAAAGAGGCAATCTGGCAATGGGATAAAGATTGTACGTCTGCGCTCAAGAAGTTAAAGCACGCGTTMATAGAATATCCTGTCCTCAAAGTAGCAGATCCATCCTTGCCATTTGTCGTTACCACGGACGCGAGTCAGTATGGGATAGGCGCCGTGTTGCAGCAAGACGACGGCAATGGTTATAGACCCGTAGMGTTCATGTCAGCGAGGATGCCCTGTGAGAAGGTTGCTACCTCCACGTACGAGAGAGAACTCTACGCTCTCAGGCAGGCTTTAGACCATTGGAAGCACTACCTGTTTGGGAGGCACTTCAAAGTGTATTCTGACCATGAGACACTTCGTTGGCTAAAGACCCAGGCCAAGATGACACCTAAGTTGACTAGGTGGGCCGCAGAGATAGACCAATTCGACTTTGAGCTYAAGCCAGTGAAGGGCAAGTACAATGTAGTGGCGGATGCTCTAAGTAGGAGATCAGACTACTTTGGAGCCGTAGTACATTATCTGGATATAGGGAGAGACC